ATCGATTCCCAGTCGTGAGTCATTTTCTTTTCTTTGTGTTCGTTTCTTTCGAGTGATTTACGATTAGAGACTCCTTCGTTCGGAGCAGTAATCCTATTCCGCAATGTTGAACATTCCGGAACCAGTTTCGCTCACGGAACCAATTCTATCTAATTCCCGAAATTCCGTTTATCACTTCCAACACAATTCCGGAATTCCCGGAATCACTGCCGATCGATTCCACCTAATTCCCGGAATTCCGTTTACCCCTTCCGATTCAATTTTGGAATTACGCGGAATTCGTACGGATTCCGCCTAATTTCAAACGGTTTCGGAATTCAGTGCATCCACACTGACGCCCACTCTTTCCGCAACACCGACATTTACACCCAGACCATGCAATTCCGGTACGGAATTCCGCCTAATTCCCAGCGATTTTGTATTGACCTAATTCCGGAATTTCGGACCGGAATCGGATCATCACGAAATCTGTAAGACAAGATAAAATAGTGACACAAGTTATAATTCCGGAATCGACGGAACTGATTCCGGGAGGCAGAACTGATTCCGAAGTGTTCAAAATTGCGGAATAGGATTACTGCTCCGAACGAAGGAGTCTCTAATCGTAAATCACTCGAAAAGATTAAATGTATGTTCATATCGAATTGAATATGAATGTAGATTGGGTCTCGATAGCTTAGTTGGTAAAAGTGTCTGGCTAGTTACCGGAGTGGATTCTACCTGGGTTCGATTCCCAGTCGTGAGTCATTTTCTTTTCTTTGTGTTCGTTTCTTTCGAGTGATAAACACACGCCGTATTACATCTTTTATTCGAAATAAAGTGAATAAAATTATGCCCTGTCATATATAGATTTATATATATATATATATATATATATGATTCATATCTCACCGCAAAAAGACAGGCAAATGGAAACCCTGGCTCGAAGATATCGGTTAGAGTTAGTCTTCGAACGAAGAGCATACATCCTATTCCGCAATGCTGAACATTCCGGAACCAGTTCCGCTCACGGAACCAATTCCATCTAATTCCCGAAATTCCGTTTATCACTTCCGATTCAATTTCGAAATTACGCGGAATTCGTACGGATTCCGCCTAATTCCAAACGGTTCCGGAATTTAGTTCACCCACACTAACATTCACGCCCAGACTGACGCCCGCACTTAACGCAACACCCACATTTACACCCAGACCATGCAATTCCGATACAGAATTCCAGGAATTAGGTCGAACAGGAATTACACGGTATTCCAAGGAATTCCGCCTAATTCCCAGCGATTTTGTATTGACCTAACTGCGGAATTCCGAATCGAAATCGGATCATCACGAAATGGGTAAGACAATATAGAATAGTGACACAAGTTGTAATTCAGGAATCGGGCAGTGTCCATAATTGACCTATTCCGGAATCGACGGAACTGATTCCTGGGGGCAGAACTGCTTCCGAAGTGTTCAAAATTGCGGAATAGGATTACTGCTCCGAACGAAGGAGTCTCTAATCGTAAATCACTCGAAAAGATTAAATGTATGTTTATTTCGAATTGAATATGAATGTAGATTGCGTCTCGATAGCTTAGTTGGTAAAAGCGTCTGGCTAGTTACCGGAGTGGATTCTACCTGGGTTCGATTCCCAGTCGTGAGTCATTTTCTTTTCTTTGTGTTCGTTTCTTTCGAGTGATAAACACACGCCGTATTACATCTTTTATTTTATCTTTAGCAACATCATATTGTGAAATCAGATTAATTCCATTAGAGCATATCCTTTAACAGTATTGTAGCGATTCAAAGCGAATATGAATACTGAAAAACGTAATGTTTCCAATCCAATAGATAGTCTCGATAGATCTAAGGATCACAATAATATGTTAACGGATATGTACGAGACTATCTATTCTATATATCAATATATCCAGACTATACCCTCTAGTCATTTGACTGAGGGTAGAACTACGCTTCTCAAAAGGAACGATTCTTGTAAAAAAAAAGAAACTTATCAAAGAAAAATCGTTTCATATTTTTTAGCTGATAGAATAAATAAAACGTATAACATTTATTTAGTAAGCGAACTGAATAGTCCTTAGAGAATAATTGCAGCCAATGACTAGCATATCATCTATGTAACATAGATGCCGATCATCCAGATTTGATTTCAGGAGATTTCCTCAATTTGTTTCACCGAATATTGTTTTATTTCTATATACATTCGAAGTAGAATTTTCTTTATCATGTCCAATAAGCAAGGATTCGTTCGAAGTCTCTTTGATTCAAACGTTAATCCCGTTAATCAAAAGGCTCGTAATATACCTATACTAAATATCATGGATAAGTATAGTAGAGCTTTTCATCTTTCATGGCTAGGATTCTTTGTTGCATTTTTGTCCTGGTTTGCTTTTCCTCCTCTTCTTCATGGGGCTATTCAAGAAGATCTGCAACTTACTAAAGCGCAAATAGCAAATTCAAATATTGTCGGACTAGTGGCAACGTTACTTGTTCGTGCTATTGTTGGTCCTTTGTGTGATAGATATGGTCCTCGTCTCGTTATGGTTGGGTGTCTTCTTAGTGGTGCCATGGCAACTGCTTGCACACCATTGATTAGTAATACCACAGAACTTAATATAATTCGATTCTTCGTTGGTATTTTGGGAGGCACTTTTGTTCCATGTCAAGTTTGGACAAGCCAATTCTTTGACAAGAATATTGTTGGATTAGCTAACGCGTTGGCTGCAGGATGGGGTAACGCAGGAGGCGGTGCCGCCTTCTTTTTAATGCCTGCCATTGTATCCCTGCTTATGAGCAAGTATGGTTTCAGTCAATATTGGGCATGGCGCATGGCTTTCCCAATGTGTCCACTTGTATTTATTGTCTGTACTGCAATTTTGACGCTTATTTTTGGAGATGATACACCAAATGGATCATGGAGCAGTCGACATAAACATCAAATTGCTGAAACAAACGATCAATTTGAGAATGCATCAATGATAGCCTCATCTTCTCCGTCAATGGAAAAAACCATTGACCTCTCTCTCGATCATGAACTTCCGTTAGCAACTAAAGAATCTGAAAGAAAGAAAGATTTCAGAGATGTGAAATTTTTCGAGATTGAAGATGAAGTTCCTCAAGCTCCATCGGCTGCAGATATATTAAAAATTGCACTTTCATCGCAAACTCTATTGGTGTCACTTCCCTATCTGTGTTCATTTGGTTCTGAACTCGCTGTCGAAGGTGTTATTTCAGATTTTTACATACAAACTGCAAAAATATCAAATAACGTAGTTTGGAACGAACAGACTGCCGGAAAATGGGCTGCTGTCTTTGGTCTATTGAATTTAATTACAAGACCTTTAGGTGGATATATATCAGATTTACTTTATCAAAGTAAGGGACTCAATGCCAAGAAATGGTGGTTAATCTTTCTTGGAGTTATGCAAGGTATCTTCTTTATCTTAATTGGTTTTATGAATCTAAATATTTATCATTTAATTGGAATGATGACTGGTTTGGCAATATTCATGGAAGCAGCTAACGGAGCTATTTTCTCTTTGGTACCTTCTATTCATCCAAAATTTAATGGCGTTGTTTCAGGTTTTGCAGGAGCAGCTGGAAACATGGGCGGTGTTTTATTTGGCTTAGCTTTCCGATTTCAGGGAACTGATTATCAGACAGCTCTGTGGATCATTGGAGTTAGTTGCCTAGGTGCAAATCTTGGTGTCACTTGGATTTCAGTGCGATAATCTGATGCACGGGAAAGAACAATTTAACTTATGTAATCGCGAAGATCCGAAAACTTTTTTTCTGTTTTGTCTTTATGAATCTATAGAATAAATAAAAAATTGATTAAATATAGCAGAGTTCAGAATGTTTCAATGTTACTATTTATAGGTACAGTACTACTTGAAACTGGAAACTCTACGACTGTGAATGCAGATATTACGAGGCTTATCTATTTTTAATGTAACCCAATAGTAACTACTCCTACAATTGAAGGATTGGCATTTCGTTGTTGATGTTTTCGAGCGATGATATATGAAACTCGATTGCCACAATAAAGATATCGTTGAATAAAAGCATAACTTTCTTTATCCATTGAGCAAAAAATAATTATTCTTTCACAAGGAATCATGTCAATATTGCAGTTGTCAAAGCAGAAACTTGAGGGTGTGGGTGTGTTTCTGAGATTTAATTAAAACCCACACCCACACCCACACCCTCAATAGATGTTTGTAAGAAGTTTTCACTATTGTAATCACTGTAGTTGTTTTTGAAGAAATGTTATCAGAAGCAATCATGTGATCAACTGATTGACGTTTTAGTTATCTAATACGATGTCGTTCGAACGATCATTAATACCACACGCTAATTCTGTGAACCGTGCTTATTTTTATCAATAAGACTATTAAAAATTTGAATATAATAATGTCAGAAGCAACGCTATATAGTGTTTTGATGCTATCTTGTGGTGCAAGCTGGAACAAAGGACAATATGAGTAGTGCATTCATCTGTAAATTATCTGGGGAAATAAGAATTATAATGAATACTACAAAATTTCATCCGTTTATCTTGCCAAAATAATAATTATCGAAACGTTTGAAGTATAGGCATCTAAAAAATATTTCATTAAAAAGATGTAGCCTAGTAATAGTAATTAATGCTCACTTGAAACATTTTTAAGATTTGTTAAGATTTAACACAGTTCGTTTTGCATTAGTTTTATCGATTGCAGTATATTTCGCCGTATATATGTTTGCGTAGAACACTCAATATTGAATACTTAAGTGATTAAAATTGATTTTTATTTTCAAATACTTCCTGACTGTTTTAGTAAGTCTATTTGTTCAGATTTTAAACTTATCTTTCTCAATCAAATAGCATAATTCAAGAGAATAGAAAGAATTTATTAGATGAAATATCAAAGCAGCTATATATCTAAGACATATAAAAGCAGCTAAGATAATTCGGCAAAGATGAAATAATTAAAAATACTAAATAAACAAAAATCTCAAGTTTCATATTTCCCATGGATACAAAAGTTGACTATCGGGTGTCTTAAAATCAACTTCGACATGTAGGTGAACATAGCGACACCACGATTGATCATGATCGATTGGATTATAGAACTGTACAGAAAGTTTCAAGCTTGTTGTTGATAGTTTGAGCAATTCAGACCATCGATATTGGATTGACTCGCTAGAACCCAATGATTTGTTGTTTTCATCATATTGAGTAATAATCACACGCGTAGAATAGCCGACGTGACACATCACTGTTGCTTTTGCACGTCTGGCTTGTATAAGTGTCTTATAAATATTCAAATCGACATAGTGATTCATTTCAACTTGATTTGTTTGATTTATAGGCGTAAAAATACAGGCATTGAGTTTTCTATATAGCATAGAGAATCGTTTTCGAAAATCAAACTCATAAAAAACAATAAATTTTACATACAAATACTTGTCATTGAGAAATCGGTACTCATTGAATATGGAATTAGCTGGACTGATCTTCCATCGACTATCATTAGCTATTAACGATGTATCACTATCAAGAACCAACGCACATTATTGATAGATTTCTCTGTCACAAATATTTACTTACCCGAGAACAGATAATGCACAATGCAGTCGACCTTCGCCGTAGAGAAGGCTTGCAGGTGGTGCTCCTATTAATTGATTTTGCATCTGAGCATTTTCAAGTGTCAAAGCTTGTTTGAATAGACAAAGTGAGATATTTCCAACACTACCCGAACATTGAACGGTCGACACATTAGCATATGACAAATTCGTAGCCCATAAGATTGCGCTTCCAAGAACAGCGTTGTCAAATAAACCATATGATATGATGCTTGCTGTTAGATTAGCACGTCTTAGATCAGTAGCTGAAAAATCAATTTGTGTTATATTACAATACACAAATTGACATTGTAATAAACGAGCTCGACGAAAATCACTCACAGCCAAATTTGAACCAAAGAATCCTCGTGTATTTATTTGAGTACAATCAAAAACAGCGTCAGAAAAATTTGTTTCTTGCATTCGTGTGAATTGAAAATGAGTATTTTTACCGATGGTTTTATAGAATGTTGCTCGTCGCATATCTACTTCAATGAATGAAGCACTTCTTATATTACTGTAGGAAAAATCAGCTTCAAATAAATATGCTCCATTAAATATAGTACCAATACAAGTTGATCCACTAAAATTAGCACGATAAAGATAAGCATTTGTGAAATTCCCATATGAAATATTTTGACCAATAAATAAAGCATCATGGAGATGAGCACCATTTAAAAAGATCTTCACTAGATTTCTTTGATTTCGTAAGTCAATATTGTCGAGACGAGCTTCCGTCAAATCGAGTGAGTTTTCCCCAATCGATAATTGACCCGCACCTTACAAAAACATAAGAAGATAAACTGTTCGAATCGGCCCAATTTGTTCAATGACGTTCAATGTTTTAGCTCGTACCAATGAGAAAATGATAGGATTTGACGATAACGGTTTCTCATTAGTTTTTAACATTAATTCGCCCATTTCATTATAATAATATAGTAATAGAGCATCAAGATATTTTTCATTCTCTTTCTTCTATCTTTCTTGTTCAATATTAATTTCATGCATCCGTTGATCACGTGTCATATTTCGTTGAATTGCAGCATTAAGATCATCAACTTCACGTTTCTCTGCTGCAAGTTGTCTGTCATGTTGACGTTGTTGTTCAGCTATCCATTTGTCAGTATCACGCTGTTCACACGAAATATTTAAATCTTGTTCACGTTGATCATTGGCCAATTCACGATCTTCAACACGTTGCTGACGAGATATATTTAAATCTTGCTGTCGTTGTTGTTCAGCTAGACGTCGATCTTCAACACGTTGAATACGATTTTCATTTCGTTGATCAAATGTAATGGTCACAGTAAAAATGTTCAATAGTAACGGTAGAAGAAGTTGACCCAGGAGATGAAAAAAGCCCTTTATTGTTAATATGGAACAATGATGATGAACATTGGCATAGCGAATATGCTTTCTATTCGTCGCTTTGTCTAAAGCTTGCATATTTTCTTTAATGGAAACATCTGATAAATAATTCTAGACTAAATATATTGATCTGGTCTCGGATAGATTTATTAATCAATATTTGAAACAATGTTATAAATGTCAAATATTGGTAGTACAATTTGATTGAAGTAGTCTATTGGCACAATGAGTAAAACTCTCACTGACAACATGTCATATATTTGCATTCTATCAATCATATATATATTGTGCTCAAGTACACTGAAATAAAGTTGACTATCAAAGAGTGTTGTCAAACTAAGTTCTTATCGTAGGTTTATGCTGAGTTTGTGCTATGGACGGATAAGATAATTTTCTATCAATATATGAATGATTGTAGACAATAGTTGACAACTGTCTATTGAATAGAAAAATGCAAAGTCAACAGTTGCTCTTATGGTCGGCATCGATTGATTTGATCTAACGGTATGCGATGTATCTTATCACCAATGATACCGAATCTAATCAGATGATTTTTTGCAATTGTTCATTGTCATCGTTCGGTTCTCGTTGCCAGTATACATTTAATTCAGCACTAGCAATTCACTCATTCGGTGATTTCGTTCGTGTAACATTTAAGAATCGAAATCAGTTGCGTGAGAAACTACTAGTGCATACATGTTATCCATATTTGTCTGAATGTAACCGTGGCCTTCACCGATGTGTCTCGATTGGCGTGAAATTTGTCACAAAAATGGATTGTATTGGTGAAAGTTTTGGATTAGATGAGCAGCAATGTGACCAACTCGAGATGAACGAGTGTGGAACAAACGAATATCGATGTCACAATGGAGCACAATGCATTTCACTCGACTTTGTCCGTGATGGCAAGGACATTATAGATTGTCTGGATGGGACAGATGAACTCGAAATTGATATACAACCTGATATTGAGATGCCGATCACCGAAGACGCAATAATAAGATGTATATCTATAACCGTATTTCAGTGTGAAGAAGCTACTTGCTGTTTTCCTCGCACGGTTGTCAGTGGTGACGGCGAGTGTGTTCGATATGGTAATATCCCTACTCTCGGGCGCCCCTGCATAGGCACAGGTCGTGATTTGAACTCGACTCGAGCTCTGTTTACATCATTCGATCCTCTCTCGCCTGACTGTAGAAAAGCACTGTTCTATGCACTCAAACTCTATTACTATTTTAATAACATACACAGTGAGAAACGATGTTCATCCGACATTCAACTATCTGTAGCAAATAACTGCGCCCAAGAATACGTATGGTTTTCTACACAACCAATTTTGTATGGCTACTTTCAATTTGTCTATATAACAAATCGGTCGGTCAACGTGTTGGAATACAATATTGCGCCATATTTAGTATGCAATGATCCACGACAATGTTTGCATCTGCCGAAGAAAAAAATTCAAATGAACGGGCGTGATTGTCGTCCATATTGGCAGTTTTTTCAGAAACCATTGATCATTCGGTATATGCCTATGCTGAATTAGCTGATAACATTCGTGCTTGTTCGACAATTGGCAATGAAAGTCAACGTGAATCATTGAATTCCTCTCTATTTCACTGTAATCGTTCTGAGAAGTGCATCTCAAAACGGGTGCGTCCCTTTTCGTCCTCACTCTTCCGGACATCAGGTTATTTGACCGGATGTTCGAAATCGGATATAAAAAATAAAATCGATTTTCCGGATGTTCGGAATGAAAAAATACAGGATGTTCGGAACATAAAGTAACAGATGTTCGAAACAAAAAATGACCGNGTTCTGCCTCTCCTTCTCCAATTAATCTTCGACATAATCAATAAAAATCAACTACGCTAAAGTATGACGCAGTTCTTTAAATTTAAAAGTTTTTATTCAAATTTTTAGACGTTCAAAAACGGCTTTACGTACATGTTCTAACAGTAGCTCATCATCGTCGTTATCGTCTCTTCAATCAATGTCTCAATCATCTTCATCTTCTTCTACCATTTCGACCGATTCAGGTTCATCTGACTTGAACAGTCTAAGTTTAAATAACACTTCTACGATTCCTACTTCGACATCATCATCTTCATTTGAAATGAATCACCTACCACAACCTAGTGCAATTACCGTTATCAAAAGTATAAGATCAAAGGATCAGCTGTTTATGGGAGGCTATACTTATCAATGCAACGTTATTCGGAAGCATGAGATCAGATGGACATGTAAAGAAAAGCATAATAAAAAATCACCTTGTCGTACAGCAATTAATACAACAAAGAATTCAGCAACTGAACAAAATCCCATTTATTCATTTGCCAGTTCAAATTCAGTGGCACACAATCATCATCCAGATAAAGATAACCAAGTGATTTTAACATTTAGATCTAGATTAAAAGAATTTGGTGAAGCAAATCGTAGCGCACCACCGACGAAATTATATAATATACTTACTACTGATATGAAGTTAAGTGATAAACAAATGGGAATGTTAACAAGGTCTGAAGTTTTAAGTAAGTTCTTTCGTTGTTTTCGTTTAACTAAATTATTAACTTTTATCTCTTTCATATAGGGAAAACAATATATAATATACGCCTTAAAACAGCTCCACCATTACCACGTGATATTACATTTGATATCCCGTCACAATTTAGAATTACGTCGGCGGATAAGAGCTTTCTTCTTTACGATCACTTATATTCAAAAAACACGAAAAGAATATTGCTTTTTAGTAGTGAATTTCTAATAAGAAAAATGTGTTCTTCGAGTTTGTTATCGATGGATGGCACCTTTTCTGTAGTACCAAAAATGTTTAAACAATTATATATTATTGTAGCCATTGATGAAGCTACACATTCAGGTGAATTTCTTTTTGTTATTTTTATAGGATGATTTGACGTTCTATTACTATAAATGTGTTTATTTGTAGCTGAACCTGTTGCTTGGATTCTCCTCAGTGATAAACATGCACAAACGTATATCCTAATTTTTAAAGCAATGAAGAAAGCTGCTTCAAGATTGAAATTGGAATTAAAACCTGAACGATTTATAACTGACTATGAAAGTGGGATTATTAAAGCAGTACGAGAAGAAGTAGGTCGTTGTTTTTCTTCATAAAGGTGGATTGTCTCGCCTTTTAATTTACAAAAGTCAGCAATATGAACAAAGAACTTTATTTTTTATTTTTAGTTCGGTGGTGTTGTACATCAAGGGTGTTTTTTCCATTTTCTACAACGTATTAATAAAAAATTAAAATCTTATGGATTATGGAAATATTATAAAAATAATGATTCATTACATCTTTATGTTGGGTGTTTCCACCAGCTTCCTACCACCATTTACAGAAAGGTTTTCAAATCCCGTTTTGTTGGTTTCATCTTGTAGAGATTTTTACGCTGATCATTTTTTGTTTTGTGTTTTCAACGATTAGTTGAGAAATAAGAAAGATATCGAAGAAACATTGAAAATAAGGTTTTTCACAAAAAATGCAGTATTTTTTTTACGGACATCGGTCGGAGAAGTCCATTCCGAACTTCAGTTTCCGGATGTTCGGAATGAAAACGCCGGAAGGTCGGAATGAAAAAGACCGGGTGTTCGGAATGAAAGTCGTCTAGATGTTCGGAACGGAAAATGACAGATGTTCGAAACAAAAAATGACCGATGTTCGGAACGAAAAAATACAGGATGTTCGGAACATAAAGTGGCAGATATTCGAAACGAAAATACTCCGTCCATCTGATCTCATGCTTCTGAATAACTTTGATTTGATAAGTATAGCCTCTCATAAACAGTTGACACTTTGATCTTATACTTTTGATAACGGTAATTTCACTAGGTTGTGGTAGGTGATTAATTTCAGATGATGATGTCGAAGTAAGAATTGTAGAAGTGTTATTTAAACTTAGATTATTCAAGTCAGACGAAATAGAATCGATCGAGATGGTAGAAGAAGATGAAGATGATTGAGACATTGATTGAAGAGATGATAAGGACGATGATGAGCTACTGTTAGAACGTGTACGTAAAGCCGTTTTTGAACGTCTAAAAATTTGAATAAAAACTTTTAAATTTAAAGAACTGCGTCATACTTTAGCGTAGTTGATTTTGATTGATTATGTCGAAGATTAATTGGAGAATGAGAGGCAGAACGATATGCGGTTGAGCGTGATTTTGCTCGGCTACGTAGTTTTGTATTATTATGTTTGATGGATGGAGAAGCAGGAGAGGATGTAACTATTGCTGTGAGACCGATGCTCTTCGATCTCGTAATAATACCCATCTAAAATAAGATGACACTGATACTTTATTTTTTCCAAGAACAATAACTACTTATGACCATTATATAATTCACCAAAACAATTCAGTATGTTGCGCGAGTCATCGTGCAGCCAATCATGCTCAAGATACTACCCTCTATAAAACAGAGAAGTTTATAGTTTTACTACTCATTCCCATTATAAAACATACACCAAAGTTCATTTCCAACATTCAGTATTTTTTCGTTCCGAACATCGGTCATTTTTTGCTTCCAACATCTCTTAGTTTATGTTCCGAACATCCTGTAGGTTTTCGTTCCGAACGTCGGTCATTTTTTATTCCGAACATCTGTCACTTTATGTTCTGAACATCCTGTATTTTTTTGTTCCGAACATCTGGACGGTTTTCATTCCGAACATCCGGAAAATCGATTTTATTTTTTATATCCGATTTCGAACATCCGGTCAAATAACCTGATGTCCGTAAGAGTGAGGACGAAAAGGGACGCACCCAAAATGTTTGCCTGAATTAATGAAGTGTGACTCTAATTTCGCTACGCCTTATTTTCGCATATCAAAACATTGTTTCATGCACAATGCACGTTCACCACATAAGTGATTCATATTTTCAAGGGGAGAAAAGCGGATCGCGGGATTGTGGGATTGTATGGATCGTATGGATCGCATGGATCGCCACCGTATCCCGGATACGAGAATATCATGAAAATAGAAAGGATCAAAAAGGGAAATGACGTATTCACGAAGCCGATTTTGTTTCTTGGATAAAAACGATGATGTAAAAATTACTGAGTACCACAGGTAGAAGTTCATTTATGCCGTTCTATAAGTCAATATTCATGCAGTATCACCGAATTTGTCTTCAATCAAAGTTGTTACAGTTTTCTGATTTTGAAATATGTATTAAAAATAACAGTTTTAAAGAATGTTAACCTAAACTATTTACGGGGGGGGGGGGGGGGGGGGGGG